TTACTGAGCGAATTCAATGAATGAATGAATCAGGGAAAAAAGATCAGAGAGAGGTCACCCGCCAAGGTCACCCACCCCACTAGTGAACAACCAAGCTATTGTTGGAACCGAGGTGATGCTGCTTCTTTCCCTGCCCAGGCCACATCTTCAAAGGACTTAAGTCATCGGCTAATGGTCACCCAGCAGGCCTCACCCGCCTCTGCCACTTCTACCCTGCCTCTGCCTCTGTTTAAAACCTCCTGCCTGGGAGATATATGCTTATTCACTTATATTCTTTCCACATTTCTATATATTTACACATTTCTATAATAAAATGGGCTTTTTTTAACTTTTTTTTTTTTTAATTTTTTTAAGAGTCTCGCTCTGTCACCCAGGCTGGAGTGCAGTGGCGTGATCTTGGCTCACTGCAACCTCCATCTCCCGGGTTCAAGTGATTCTCATGCCTCAGCTTCCTGAGTAGCTGGGACTACAGGCACCCCCTCAACCACAACTGGTTAATTTTGTATATTTAGTAGAGACAGGGTTTCACCATGTTTGCCAGACTGGTCTCGAACTCCTGGGCTCAAGTGATCCGCCCGCCTCGGCCTCCCAAAGTGCTCAGATTACAGACATGAGACACCGTGTCCGGCCTTAACTTTTAGAAAAATAGAAAAAAAAAAAAAAACAACTGTGGCTCCAGAGGCCACAGGTGCCCTGTGGAAGAGCTTGGAGGCAGGCAAACAGGGACTTGATCTCGACTCCACCAATTATGAACTGTGTGATCCTGGGCACAACCCAGGCCCTCTGAGACCTTCAGTTTCTCCCTGTACGTATGGGCTGATGGCGGCTGCCTCTCCGCACTGCAGGAAGGAGTCAATAAGCCAGACACAGCAAGCGCTCAGCAACGACGGGCTGTGATGCCGCCATTGCTGCGGTTGTTATTATTCAAAGCAAAGCAGGGAGCTGCAGAAGGCTGTGGTGGGATGCAGCGAGGGGTGAATGCAGCAGGCCTGAGTTGTCCAAACCCCACACATTCCAAAGAAAGGACAGGCCCTGGACAGCTTCTGGGAGGGAACCTCTAAGCCCTTGGAATGTCCTGACTGATAAGAGTGTCTTAGATCGAGACCATCCTGGCTAACATGGTGAAACCCCGTCTCTACTAAAAATACAAAAAATTAGCCAGGCGTGGTGGCGGGCGCCTGTAGTCCCAGCTACTCAGGAGGCTGAGGCAGGAGAATGGCGTGAACCTGGGAGGTGGAGCTTGCAGTGAGCTGAGATCCAGCCACTGCACTCCAGCCTGGGTGACAGAGCGAGACCCCGTCTCAAAAAAAAAAAAAGTGTCTTGATTTACCTGGGGCCTGGAGCCACACTGGATGCTGTATGCTAATGCTGTGATCTATGGTCAGGGCCTGGAGCCATTTGGTATCAGCTTGGCCTCTGGAAGGGCTGGAGTCTCAGGTCAGCCACCATGCATATGTGACTGACGCCCAGTAAAAACCCTGGACACCCAGGCTTACAGGAGCGTCCCCGGTTGGCAGCACTGCTTGCGTGTTGTCACACATCTTGCTGGGAGAATTAAGTACCATTCATGACTCCACCAGGAGAGGACAGCTGGATGCTCACACCTGGTCTGTCTTGGATTCTGCCCCATGTGACTTTTTCCTTTTTTTTTTTTTTTTTTTTGAGACAGAGTCTTGCTCTGTTGTCCAGGCTGGAGTGCAGTGGCACAATCTCGGCTCACTGCAACCTCTGCCTCCTGGGTTCAAGCGATTCTCCTGCCTCAGCCTCCTGAGTAGATGGGACTACAGGCACGAGCCACCATGCCCAGCTAATTTTTGTACTTTTAGTAGAGATAGGGTTTCACCATGTTGGCCAGGATGGCGGGATGGTCTCGATCTCCTGACCTCATGATCTGCCCTCCTTGGCCTCCCAAAGTGCTGAGATTACAGGCGTGAGCCACTACACCCAGCCCCCATTTTTTTTTTTTTTTTTTTTTTTTTGAGACACAGTCTTGCTCTGTCACCCAGGTTAGAGTGCAGTGGCAAAATCTCAGCTCACTGCAACCTCCCACTCCTAGGTTCAAGCGATTCTCCTGCCTCAGCCTCCCGAGTAGCTGGGAGCTGGGATTATAGACATGCGTCACCACGGCCGGCTTTTTTTTTTTTTTTTTTTTTTTTTTTTTTTTTTTTTATTTTTTTGAGACGGAGTCTCACGCTGTTGCCCAGGCTGGAGTGCAGTGGCGCGATCTCGGCTCACTGCAAGCTCCGCCTCCCGGGTTCCCGCCATTCTCCTGCCTCAGCCTCCTGAGTAGCTGGGACTACAGGCGCCCGCCACCGCGCCCGGCTAATTTTTTGTATTTTTAGTAGAGACGGGGTTTCACTGTGGTCTCGATCTCCTGACCTTGTGATCTGCCCGCCTCGGCCTCCCAAAGTGCTGGGATTACAGGCTTGAGCCACCGCGCCCGGCCTTTTTTTTTTTTTTTTTTTGAGACAGAGTCTTATTCTGTCACCCAGGCTGTAGTGCAGTGGCGGGATCTTGGCTCACTGCAAGCTCTGCCTCCTGGGTTCAATCGATTCTCCTGCCTCAGCCTCCTGGGTAGCAGGGATTACAGGCACACGCCACCACACCTGGCTAATTTTTGTATTTTTAGTAGAGATGGCGATTCACCATGTTGGTCAGGCTGGTAATTTCTATATTTGTAGTAGAGACAGGGTTTCGCCATGTTGGCAAGGCTGATCTCGAACTCCTGACTTCAGGTGATCCACTTGCCTTGACCTCCCAAAGTGCTGGGGTTACACGAGTGAGCCACCACGCCTGGCAGTACTACCATCTATTAATAGATCCTCCCACAGCAGTTTCTCAGCCCAGACCTCTCCCTTCACCTCCAGATCCACATATTCAAGTCCATCTTTCTACCTGGCTTTCTAAAAGGCAGTTCAATGGATAAAGAAAATATGGTCTATATATACCATGGAATACTACTCAGCCATAAAAAGGAACAATATAATGTCTCTTGCAGTAATTGGATGGAATTGGAAGGCCATTATTCTAAGTCAAGGAACTCAGGAATGGAAAACCAAATAGCTTATATTCTTGCTTATAAGTGGGAGCTAAGCTATGAGGGGGGGAAGATATACAGAGTGATATAATGGAATTTGGGGACTCAGGGAGGGGGGTTGTGATGGGGGTGAGGGACTACAGATTGGGTACACTGCTCTAGTGATGGGCACACCAAAATCTCAGAATTCACCACTATAGAATTCATCCATGTAACGAAAAAGCACATGTACCCCAAAAACTATTGAAATAAACATTTTTTTAATTCAAAAGAATAGGCCAGGAGTGGTCCACCTGCCTCGGCCTCCCAAAGTGCTGGGATTACAGGCGTGAGCCATCACGCCCGGCCAAGTAGCTCAAATTCTTAAGTCCAAAACTGAGCTCTGAGTCCTCCCTGCAGATCTTTTTCCCCATCCCATCACGGTCTTCCTCATCCCAGTAAATGGCAGCTTCATCCTCCGGGAGGCTCAGGCCAGAACCGCTGGAGATGCACCACTTCTCCTCTCTTCCTCCCCACCACACCCCCACAGCCAGCACATCAGCAGAACGCTAATGCCTCCCAACATAACCAGCATCTGACCGCTTTTCACCACTTCCACCACTATTACCCTTGTCAGAGTTTCCATTATCTCTCACCTAGACAAATATAATAGACTCTTTCATAGATGTCCTTGCCTCTGACAGTCTGTTCCTTACACTGCAGCCAGAGAAATCCTGTTAACACCTAAATCCGCTGCTCACATCTCCTTGGCTCAGAGCCCTCCCATGACTCCCGGCTCACTCAGAGTCAAAGCGGTCCTCAGCCTGCGCAGTGGCTCACGCCTGTAATCCCAGCACTTTGGGAGGCCGAGGCGGGTGGATCACTTGAGGTCGGGAATTCAAGACCACCCTGGCCAACATGGTGAAACCCCGTCTCTACAAAAAATACAGAAATTAGCAGGCAGAAGTGGTAGACACCTGTGGTCCCAGCCACTCAGGAGGCTGAGGGAGGAGAATCGCTGGAACTGGGGAGGGAGAGGTTTGCTGTGAGCCGAGATCGCACCACTGCACTCCAGCCTGGGTGACAGAACAAAAACTCCATCTCAAAAACAAAAACAAATAAACAAACAAAAAACAAAGCAAGGTCCTCGCCGTGGCCCGCAAGGCCCAGTACAATCTGTCCCCATCCCCTCTGCCCTCATATCCCACCCTTCCCGCACATTCACTCTCCTGCAGCCACAGTGGCCTCCTCACTGCTCAACACTCCAGGCCCCCGCTCACCTCAGGGCCTTTGCACCTGCTCTTCCGTCTGCCAGGAACATCCTCCCCCAGGCATTCATCAGGCTCATACCCCCTCTTCGCTAAGCCTTTAGCCCACATATCACCTCCTCAGGGAGCCCTTTCCCACCCACCCCATCTGAAACAGGCCCCATCTCACCCCTTTTTTTTTTTTTTTTTTTGAGACAAAGTTTTGCTCTGTCGCCCAGGCTGGAGTGCAGTGGCTCGATCTCAGCTCACTGCAAGCTCCGCCTCCCGGGTTCACGCCATTCTCCTGCCTCAGCCTCCTGAGTAGCTGGGACTACAGGTGCCTGCCACCTCGCCAGGCTAATTTTTTGTATTTTTTTAGTAGAGACGGGGTTTCACCGTGTTAGCCAGGATGGTCTCGATCTCCTGACGTCGTGATCCACCCGCCTCGGCCTCCCAAAGTGCTGGGATTACAGGCATGAGCCAACATGCCCGGCCCATCTCATCCCTCTTTATCCCACTACTCCGCCTCATTGTTCATGGCACTTATCACCAGCAGGCATCATATTTTATATGTATTTGATTCCTTGTCTCCCCAGTTGGAATGTTGGCTCCATGTTCACTGTTGAATCCCCAGCACTTAAAATAAGGGCCAGGCCCCAAGAAGGTGTCAGAGAATGTTTGCTGAATGAGCAGATGAGCGAACAAGCGCCGCAGGGCTGGAGGGGCTCCATCCTCACCTGCAGCCGGGCCAGGATTTGGTGGTAGTGGAACAGGGTGCAGAAGTCCACGTGGGCCGAGAATGCCTCCAAAGCTGCCTTCTCTGCCGGACTCGAGTGGAATTCCTGTTACCTCAGGAAGCAAAACTTCTCTGTAGGCCTTTTCCCCTTCCCCAAGCGAAAGAATTCTTCCCCTGGCAACCTAACTACACAATCAGAGCTCCGGACTTTGAAGTTTTGTTCTGGGGCCGGGCGCAGTGTCTCGCACCTGTAATCCTAGCACTTTGGGAGGCCGAGGCGGGTGGATCACTTGAAGTCAGGAGTTCAAGACCAGCATGGCCAACATGGTGAAATCCTGTCTCTGCTAAAAATACAAAAATTAGCCGGGTGTGGTGGTGTGCACCTGTTGTCCCAGCTACTCGGGAGGCTGAAGCTGGAGAATTGCTTGAACCGGGGAGGCAGAGGCTGCAGTGAGTCGACGTCGCACCACTGCCCTCCAAACTAGACAACATGAAGACTCCGGCTCAAAAAAAAAAAAAGTTTTGTTTTGGTTGGAAAAAAAGTTTGTTCATTTTACTGAAACTGAGGCAGCCAAATATAGTGAAAAACTATACTGGGCTTAAAAAGCTGGAGGTTCAAGTTTTTGCTTTCACATTTCCTAGCCAACACTCACACAATTCCAGGAACTGTTTGACAGTGTAATGTCATCCTCCAGAAGTAGATGGAATTATTATTATTATTATTATTATTATTTATTATTATATTGAGACAGGGTCTCGTTCTGTAACCTAGGCTGGAGCTCAGTGGTGCAGTCTCAGCTCACTGTATCTTCATCCTCCTGGGATCAAGTGATCCTCCCACCTCAGCCTCCTGAGCAGCTAAGACTACAGGTGCCCACCACTATGCCTCGCTAATTTTTTACAATTTTTTGTAAAGGTGGAGTCTCACTATATTGCCCAGGCTGGTCTGAACTCCTGTGCTCAAGCGATCCTCCCACCTCAGCCTCCCAAAGTGCTGGGAGGCTGAGTCACCATCCCCCCAAGGTTGATGGAATTATAACTCCCATTTTTCAGCAGGAGAAACTGAGGCTCTGGAAAAGTCATTTGGTAAGGGCTGCAGTGTCTGTGGGAAGTGATTGCAATCTAGGTCTCTCTGACACCAGAGCACACATAGAACCATTTTGGGGTTTTTTTGTTGTTTTGTTTTATTTTTGAGATGGAGTCTTACTCTGTTGCCAAGGCTGGAGTGCAGTGGCCACGATATCAGCTCACTGCAACCTCTACCTCCGTAGTTCAAGTGATTCTCCTGCCTCAGCCTCCTGAGTAGCTGGGATTATAGGTGCCTGCCACCATGCCCAGCTAATTTTTGTACTTTTAATGGAGACGGGGTTTCACCATGTTGGCCAGGCTGGTCTTGAACTCCTGACCTCAGGTGATCCACCTGCGTCGGCCTCCCAAAGTGCTGGGATTACTGGCATGAGCCACCACGCCTGGCCTTGAGCCACTTCTTTATGTTTCCTATCTCAATGTCCTGGGTAATTGTCTTCACTTCTTTGAGCCTCAGTTTCCTCACTGGCAACAGAGGATCACACCCTCTATCTCAGAGGGCTATGGTGAGAATCTGATGAGATTACACGTGTCCTGTATACACGTGTTTACATTTGTGTGCATATATTTGTGTATTTATGTGTGTGTATATTTGTGCATTTTTGTGTGCATATATTTGTGCGTGTTTGTGTATGCATATTTGTGTATGTATATTTGTATGTGTTTGTATGTGTATATTTATGCATTTGTGTACATATATTTGTGTATTTGTGTGAGAATGTATTTGTGTGTGTATTTGCATATACTTGTGTGTATTTGTATGCATATATTTGTGTGTGTATCAAGTCTAGCACAGAATTGAGTACATACAGTAGATGTTCAATAAATAAATGTTAAATGAATGAATGATGGTTGGGTGTGGTGGCTCATATCTGTAATCTCAGCACTTTGGGAAGCCAAGGTGGGCAGATCACTTGAGGCCAAGAGTTCAAGACCAGCCTGGCCGACATGGCAATCCCCTGTCTCTACTAAAAATGCAAAAATTAGCCAGGCGTGGTGATGGGCACCTGTAGTCCCAGCCTCTTGAGGGGCTGAGGCAGGTGGATCACTTGAGTCCAGGAGGCAGAGAATTGCAGTGAGCTGAGATTGTGCCACTGCACTCCAGTCTGGGCAACAGAGTGAGACCTTATCTCAAAAAAAAAATAATTGGCCGGGCGCGGTGGCTCAAGCCTGTAATCCCAGCACTTTGGGAGGCCGAGATGGGCGGATCACGAGGTCAGGAGTTCGAGACCATCCTGGCTAACACGGTGAAACCCCGTCTCTACTAAAAAATACAAAAAACTAGCCGGGCGAGGTGGCGGGCGCCTGTAGTCCCGGCTACTTGGGAGGCTGAGGCAGAAGAATGGCGTAAAAACCCGGGAGGCAGAGCTTGCAGTGAGCTGAGATCCGGCCACTGCACTCCAGCCTGGGCGACACAGCGAGACTCCGTCTCAAAAAAAAAAAAAATAATAAAAATAATAATAATAATAAACAAAAATAAATGAATGAATGAATAATAATCCTCAAAATCCTCAATAATGACAATGATGACGATGGTGGTAATAAGTACTCAGGTTCTAGAGTGACACCAAGCCTAGGATGACGTGAATATGACACCCAAGGGTGCAAAATTTAATGGAGGCACTCACTCTTAGGGTCAAGCGAATGCCTTACTTGCCTAACCCTAGTCCTGGGCCAGCTCTGGAGTCAGACCACTTTGGTTCAAATCTACGCCACTATGCTGTGGCCTTGGGTAAGTCACTTTCCTTTCCTATGCTTCCATTATCTCATCTGTAAAATGGGGATGATGGTGGTATCTCTCTTACTGATGATTCAACAATACATGAAAAATGTCTGGCACAGTGCCATAGAGTCAGAGCTCAAATTGTGTGATAATAATTATGATTACAGCGTTGTGACTTTATAGGTACAATTATTATCAGGTAGTAGACATAGTAATGATGAGGATCATTACTATACCCGTCTTACAGAGGGAAAAACCATGCCCCAGAGAGTGCCTGTTCAAGCCCTCAGAACAAGCCAGAATCGGGAATGGATGCTGCATCTGATCTCGGAGACCTGGCTCCTGCATTCCAGCTCATCTCCCGCCCACCAGGGAACCACGAAGGGACCCGGGAACTGCAACTCCCAGGAGGCGCCAGGGCAGTTCTCTGCAGCAACTAGGGCCCTGCCGCCGTGAAGCCTGCTGGGAGCGGTAGTCCCCAGGCTCTTGGATCCGGGACGGGCGGTACCTGTATTAGGAGGCGGAGCAGCTGCTCCTTCGAGAAGGGAATGAAGCGCTCGCGGTACTGCTGGGCCCAGTCGCGGGGCTCCCTGGGGTTCCACATCTTGCGATACTCCCCCATCTTGGCTGCCAGCGATGAGAGGGCCCGGGGGGGCCCGAGGAGCGCGGGCAACAGTGGCCATACTCGGACCCTGAACCCCCAGACCCCCCGGGTCACATGCAGCATGGCTAGACCCTTTCCCTGGAGCCTAAACAGAGGAAAATGGGAAGGGGGTCAAAGGCCATCTAGAGGAAAAGCGCCCTCTCCACCTCCACGTCCCACCCTCCAGAAGCTGTCTCTACCCCAGGCAGGGCGCAGAGCCCATCTGCTCGCCTCGAAGCCCCTGTTGCCTGTCCCCTTCCCACACCGTTCAGTTGGCCTGGGTCCCACACAGGGGTCAGAGGTCTTAGGTTTCGGGGCGTTTTGCAGGCCCAGAGATCCTGTAGTGGTACAACGTTTGCTTGGGGTCTAGACAGCGAGGTAGATCTTAGGAGAGCAGGAATGCTCGGAAAGGTTACCTAGGGGGTGCAGAGCCGCCCTCCCTGGCCATGCAATCCCCCAATCTCTCCCTCACCTTAGCCAAAGCTCGACTGTCATTGAGCCTCCTGCGCATGTGCAGGAAGGCGTCCTGGGCTCCCGAGGTTCAGCTTCAGCCAGCAGTAAAACGCATGCGTAAAGCCTGTATCAATGCGAGCTGTCCATTTCTCACTGCCACCTCCCTATCTCAACTACGCATGCGCTATCTGCCTGCCTTTCTCCACCACTGGCCTCGTTTGGGCGCAACGCATGCGCCACAGGAGTGTATCCTTGTCAGCTTGCTACAAAGGAAAGGGGCAGAGTGGACGCGAGACTCCCCAGAGGAATGGGGCGGGGCAGGGCTCCCGCGCGCAGTACGCCAACGGCGCGCAGTCCAACGTCCACCGAGGCCACGCCCCCCCTCGTGTCAGCTCCTGAGTAGGCGGAAAGCGGGAGGGGGCGGGACTTGAGCGCAGCCAATCAGCTGTGGAGGAGCGAAAAGGCGGGAAAAAGCGGAACCAAAAGAAGGCGAAGGTGGCGCCAGGGATCAGGAGAGGTGGGCGGGCGAAAGGAAGGGCGGGCCCTCGGGTGACGCAGATTGGCCCTCCAGAGACGGGGCGGCCCCTTTTTAGGCGGTGTCACCCCCAAACCCCAGCACTGCCATTCCAGGTCCTTAAAGGGGAGACCGCGATTCTAAGAAGGTAGCCCAGTGGCGGGGCGTGGCCTCATTCTGAGGTTCCCCACAAATCCGAGGTCCCGACTCCCAGCTTGAGGAAGTGCACTTTCATGAAAATGGAGCTGAATTCGAAAGGGAGGCCCTTATTCTGGGAAATAGCCCCAAATGACACAAGACAGCCTGAAATATGCCCTGAGATACCTGGGTTCTCCACGAAGGGTGCTGTCACCCCCAAACCTGAAAGGGATTCTTTGGGTTCAGACCTCCCAGGGGCTGATCTCAATGGCCGCACCCCCTAGTTCCCAGAAAATCCCACCTGTGTCCTCTCACAGAAGGACCCAGTCCTTCTGCTCCTGGGTCACAAGACGTGGTCCCCAAATATCCCAGCCCTCCCCTGCACTCCACCTCTGGGACCCCTGACAGCCCTCACCCCACAACCCCCTCAGCCCACAGTCCTGACTTCTGGAACCTGAAGCAGCCCCTTCACTTATGTCCCCCCACTCCTGGGACCCCCAGAATCCCCCTAACCCCAGGCCCTCACCTCTCTGGAATCCTCCGTAGACCCCCTTAACCCACACCTCAACCTAGGGGACCCTCAGCGGCTCTCTCACCCTGCACCTCCACCTCTGCGACCCCTGGCAGCCCTCCCCACACAACCCCATTCCTGGGAGCCCCCCAGCACCCACTTCCTATGTCCCCCACTTCAGGGACCCCTAGCAGCCCTCTTACCCCACACAACCCCATTCCTGGGACCCCCCATCACCCCCATCCTGTGCCCCCACTCCTGGGGCCCACAGAAGCCCCCTCACCACACAACCCCATTCCCTGGGACCCACCTGCATCCCCATCCTATGTCCCCACTTCTGGGGCCCCTGACAACCCATTCACCCCACACCCTGACTCCTAAGAGGCTCAGCAGTCGCGTCACCCCACACAACTCCCCTCCAGGGACCCCCCATCCCCACCCCATGTCCCCCAATCCTGGGGCCTCCAACAGCCCATCCACCCGGTTTCCCTGACTGGCATCCCCCATCTGTGTCATCCCACAGCAGCCAAGCCCAGGGCCAGCCTGAAGCCCCCGGACGGCAGTGCCCAGCAGGCAGCGCCCAGCACTCTGACTCCCACCTCCCAGTGGCCCCAAAAGAGAACAGCTGCCATGCACATCCCTGAAAGCCTCCAGGACCTGGCCAGCAGCGAAGCCGTGCAGTTTCTGAGAAGGCCCAAGACCGTCACGCGGGTCTTCGAGGGGGTGAGGCCCTCCCGTGGCCCGACTATGCCCCTGGGTGACAGGAGCCAGGAGCTCTCAACTCCCAGACAGTGCGGGAGGTGGGAGGGGGGCAGGCAAGGAAGGGGTCAGATGGGGAGACAAGGCAACAGGGAGCAAATGCTGACACCACCTTTTCCTGAGCACCCCACTATGGGCCCGTGCTATTGAGGCACTTACAGACTTTCATAGTAAGGAACAGCCCTCAGAGTAGGTGCTGCAAGTCCCATCTCCGAGATAAGAAAACGGGCTCAGAAAAGTTAAGTAAATTTTTTTTTTCTTCGAAACAGTCTTAATTAGCCAGGCGTAGTGGCACACACCTGTAATCCTAGCTACTGAGGAGGCTGAGGCAGGATCGCTAGAACCCGGGTGGTGGAGGTTGCAGTGAGCGGAGATCGTACTACTGCACTCCAGCCTGGGCAACAGAGCCAGACTCCATCTCAAAAGAAAGAAAGAGAGAGGGAGGGAGGGAGGAAGGGAAGGAGGAAGGAAGGAAGGAAGGGAGGGAGGGAGGAAGGGAGGAAGGAAGGAAGGAGTTTTGCTTTGTCACCCAGGCTGGAGTGCAGTGGCACAATTTCTGCTCACTGCAACTTCCACCTCTTGGGTTCAAGCGATTCTCCTGCCTCAGCCTCCCTAGTAGCTGGGATTACAGGTGTGCACCACTGCACCTGGCTAATTTTTGTATTTTTAGTTTCGCCATGTTGGCCAGGCTGCTCTCGAACTCCTGACATCAAGTGATCCACCCATCTCAGCCTCCCAAAGTGCTGGGATTACAGGTGTCAGCCACCACACCCAGCCTCAGTAAATTTCTTAAATCTGGGATGTCCAATGGGGTAGCCACAACCACATGTGGTTACCTCACGTTGCGCTAATTAAAAGAGTTCATTCTTTAGTCATAGTGGCCACATTTTAGGTGCTCAACAGCCACATGTAGCTGGGGACTCTCAAACAGTACAGGCTGGGTGTGGTGGTTCATGCCTGTAAAGCTAGCACTTTGGGAGGCCGAGGTGGGCAGATCACTTGAGGTCAGGAATTTGAGACCAGCCTGGCCAACATGGCAAAAACCTGTCTCTACTAAAAATACAAAAATCCAGGCATGGTGGCATGAGCCTGTAGTCCCAGTTACGTAGGAGGCTGAGGCTCGAGGATGGCTTGAGCCCACGTGGCGGAGGTTGCACTCCAGCGTCGGTGACAGAGTGAGACCCTGTCTTAAAAAAAAACAAAACTGTGGCCAGGCGCGGTGGCTCACGCCTGTAATCCTAGCACTTTGGGAGGCTGAGGCAGGCAGATCACGAGGTAGGGAGATCAAGACCATCCTGGCTAACACTGTGAAACCCCGTCTCTACTAAAAATACAAAAAATTAGCCAGGCATGGTGGCAGGTGCCTATAGTCCCAGCTACTCGGGAGACTGAGGCAGGAGAATGGCATTGACCTGGGAGGTGGAGCTTGCAGTGAGTGGAGATCATGGCACTGCACTCCAGCCTGGGCAACAGAGTGAGATTCTATTTCAAAAAAAAAAAAAAGTGCAGATATGGGACATTTTCATCATGCCAGAAAGTTCTGTTAGACAGTATTGGCTAAGGTCACTCAGTAAGAGGCAGGGGCAGGATTCAAACTCAGATCTGTGACATGCCAGAGCCCATTTATTTTCCACCTCCCAGTTGAGGGAGGAGGAGGAGAGGAACAGGGGCTGGGGCCTCTAGGAAGAGAATAAGGAGTGCAGACCTAAAGTGCCAGATGTTGGGTGGTCACTGTGTGCCAGGCACCACGGCACCGTTCATTTCATCATCCCCACATTCCTAAAGAATCTGGACACCTGAAGTCAAATCCTCATTCAGCGCAGACTTTGCTCTGTGATCTTGAACCAATCACTGCTCATCTCTGGATCTCAGTACATGAAGGGTTAGAGCTGTGGCTCTGACCTTTAACCTGTGCTGCTTCCGCCGCTCTGCTTTAACAGAATTGGAAACTAAGGCCTAGGGAGATGATGAGACTTGATCGAGGTCTTGGGAGTAGGTGGGGTTCCCCAGCTCAAACCCAGGGTCTCCCCTAAGTCCTAATCCAGAGTATCTCCTCTCTGCCCCTTCTAGAGCCTGAGGTTGGAGAAGGAACAAACAGGCCTGGAATCCTGGCTCAGCCACGTGCTGTCCATACAAAGTGACTTACTGCCCAGTTTACCTGGGCCAGGCCTGACATCATTACCAACAGCAGCATCTTTCTTTCTCAAAAGTGCCCCTTTTGTTTGATGGCTTGCGTGGTCACTCTGTGTCTGTGTGACCCTGAGCAAGCTATTTGATTTCTCTGAACATCTCCATACTCTCGTCTGTAAAAAGAGGATCCTAATACTCTACTCCTAGGAAGGACCATTGTGAAAATGAAACAAATTAATGCCTATAAACTGATTAGCGTGGGACAGGCAAGTAGTGATCTTTCCTTAGTGATTTTTCTTTTTCTTTTTTTTTTCAGACAGAGCCTTGCTCTGTCACCCAGGCTGGAGTGCAGTGGTGCAATCTCAGCTCACTGCAACCTCCGCCTCCCGGGTTCAAGCAATTCTCGTGCCTCCCGAGTAGCTGGGATTCCCAGCATGCACCACCACGCCTGTCTAATTTTTGTATTCTTAGTAGAGATGGGGTTTCACCATGTTGGCCAGGCTGGTCTTGAACTCCTGACCTCAAATGATCCACCCACCTCGGCCTTCCAAAGTGTTGGGATTACAGGCGTGAGCCGCCGCACCCAGCCTTAAACAGTGATTATTATCAAAACAAACCATTACTTGTGAATGAGGAGAGGGCCTAGGATGATCGAGATTTGTGTCCATTGTCCTTCCCCAGGGAAAGAGGGGAATCTTGAAAACCACATCCCAGCACCTGATCTTTTGCTCAAGGGGAAACTGAGGCTCACAGAGGCTGAGTGGCTTGCCCAAGGACATCACCCAGCTAATGAGCAAGGCCAACTCAGATCCACCCACCCATCTGGAAAGCCTCAGAAGACAGGGCGGGTGGCAAGGGAGACGGAAGCCCAGCTGGTGTGGACTGATGCAGGGAAAGGGGAGGAAGAGCCGCCAACCATGCCAGACGTTCTGGTCACGGACCTTGCCTGCCGCCTCCATCCACCCTCCCCACCCCCCGCCCTCTCCTCCTTCCCCCCTGGTCTGGCTCCTCAGTAGGGAGTCTCTGGGCAGCTGGTACTCTTGTCCTCACTGCCGCCTGCCAGCTGGTGCCTTAACTGATGAATCTTTGCTCCCTCCCTAGGGACAGGCCAGGGAGGGCATGGAAGGAGTTTGGACTGAGGCTTCAGAGGGATAGGGTCCCTCCAGCCCAGATGAGCCCCTGCTCCTCCAATCTCCAGTGCCCCGGGCTCATGTCACAGCCCAGGGTTTTGGGGGTCAGTGGACAGACAGCCCACCCACCTAGATGTCAGGAGGGCTAGATTCCAATCCCCCTTCCACCACTTACTGACCTTGAGAGGACGCCTCCCCTCTCTGGGCAAATCACAAGAACGACCATTTTCCTGAGCCCCTGGTAGACCCAAGCCCCTACCCCGCATTCCTCCTTTCAATAGCATAGAAACAGACCAGGAAACTGAGGCTCCAAGAGATGGGTGATTTGCCCCAAGCCATACAGCTGGCGCAGTCAGACGCGTCTGGCTCTTTCCACTCCACCAAAATGGCTTCGATTTATCACCTGTGAAACAGAAATGAATTAATAACCTCCACCACGTGGGGCCGGTGTGAGGTTCCAGGGAGGTAGCACAGGTAAAATGAATATGGTCTCAAAAATGATCGATGTGCTTTCCCATCCTCGACCTGGCTCTGCCTCAGACCAGCAGGGCCAGACACGCCCTCTCTATAGTCAGTTCTTCTGCTCCAAAATAGGCAGAATCATCTTACAGCCTCCCTCCAAGGGTTGCTGTGCGGATCAAGTGAGATGATGGATGTGAATACCCTTGGTTATTGCCGAAGGGCTAGGCAAAAACAGGGAGTCAGGGTGTTGCTGCTGTTGTTCACAGAAGGCAATTAAGGCAAAGGAGAAGGGAGGAGGGACGGAAGCTGAGGAGTTTAGGGGTCAGTTCTTTGCGTCCTCCGTCTCCACTCCGAAGGGCAGGGCAAGAGTCGAGACAAAACCAAAGTCATTCACTCTTTCAACATACATTTGCTGAAGTCCAGTCTAGTGCTGGATGCTGGGGATAGGGAAGAGGGGCCCGGCAAGGTGGCTCACACCTGTAATCCCAACACTTTGAGAGGCCAAGGCAGGAGGATTGCTTGAGGCCAGGAGTTTGAGACCTGCTTGTGCAACATAGTGATACCGTCTCTACAAAAAATTAAATATGAGTGAGGCATGGTATTTCACACTTGTAGTCCCAGCTACTCAGGAGGCTGAGGTGGCAGGATCGCTTGAGCCCAGGAGGTCGAGGCAGCAGTGAGCCGTGATCACGCCACTGCACTCCGGCCTGCAAGACACAGTGAGACACTGTCTCAAAAACAGAAAAAAGAGAGAGAGAGTCCTGTGTGGAGCCTGTCCAGGAAGAGTTCCAGTTCTAACGAAGGGGAGATTTTCTTTTTCTTCTGTGTTGAGACAGGGTCTCACTCTGTTGCCCAGGCTGGAGTGCAGTGGTGCAGTCACAGCTCACTGCACTCCCAACCTCATGGGTTCAAGCGATCCTTCCGTCTTAACCTCCCAAAGCACTGGGATTACAGGCACGAGCCACCACACCAGACCAAAGGGAAGATTTTCAACAGTCTGTTTCCCTTGGCCTACCCACCTTCACCCCCAACCCCTATCGCCAACACTGCCACTTCCAATCAATCACCACGTCCTATTTTACACGCTAAATATTACTGAATTCCCCAGGGCTCTGGCCTCAGCGTTTCTCACCTGGGCCTCCGCACCTCCTCTCAGGTGTGTTGGTCTCTTGTCTTGCCCACCTCCAATCCATCAGCCACGTGACCGCAGAGGGCTTCTCTAACCCCAAGGCTGACCTTGGCTGTCCCCTGCACAGAATCCTCCCATTCATAACATTGAATGCTTTCCATGGCTCCCCAAGTCTGGCTCCTGGCCCTGGTGTTCCAGGCCTCTTAGAGCCTGGCTCTCACCCACTTTTCCAGCCTCATCTCACACCAAAACCCTCCAGTGAGTTTCTCTCTTATCTCTGAAGCTGCCCGCTCTGCAGCATCTGGCTCTTCCACGTGCTGTCCGCCCTGCCAGGAATGCCCTTCCTCCTCTTGTCTGCCCAAGAAACTCCTTGTTCTTTAAGGTCCAGTTCAGAACTCACCTTAAATCCAGCCCTCAGTCCGGCTTCCGCCTTGACTCTCTCCCTGACCCCAGGCCCCAGCCTCCTCCCCACCGCCCCATCTACACACCAGCTCATCTTTGTCTGGCACAGACCTGCCCTGCTGCATTGTGACCATCTGGGACAAATCACTGGGGATTCAAATTTTCACTGAATTTCGTTGATAGGAGCCCCCCTACTCAAGGCGCGTGGTCCAGCATGAGGTAGGAGATCAGGCGGTCAAGGGCAGACTCAGGAGCCAGGTTGCTTCGGTTCAAATCCAGGCTCTGACACTGACACTGACCAGCTCACTTTTTTTTTTTTTTTTTTGTGACAGGGTCTCACTGTGTCTCACAGCCTGGAGTGCAGTGGCACTATCAGAGCTCACTGCAGCCTTGACTTCTGGGTCTCAAGTGATCCTCCTACCTCAGCCCCGCAAGTACCTGGGACTTCAGGTGCACGCCACCACACTGAGCTCATTTTTTTTTTTTTTTTAATTTTTTGTAGATACTAGGTCTCACTCTGTTGCCTAGGCTGGTCTCCTGAGCTCAAGCGATTCCTCCCACCTTGGCCTCCCAAGTGTTGGGATTACAGATGTGAGCCACCGTGCTTGGCCTTTTGTTTGTTTGTTTGGTTTGAGACAAAGTCTTGCTCTCTCACCTCAGCTGGAGTGCAGTGGCATGATCATGGCTCACTGCAGCCTCAACCTCCTGGGCTCAAGTGATCCTCCTGCCTCAGCCTCCCAAGTAGCTGGGACTACAGGTATGCACCACCACCCCCAGCAATTTTTGTTTTTAATATTTTTGTAGAGACTGGGTCTCACTCTGATGCCCAGGCTGGTCTCGAACTCCTGGCCTGACACAATCCTCCCACCTCAGCCTCCCAAAGTGCTTGAATTACAGGCATGAGCCACCTCGCCCAGCCAGCTAATTGGGTTCAGCCAATTCCTTATCCTCTCTGTGCCTCAGTTCCATTATCTGAAACACATGGCTGTGAGTCGTGCCCGCATCCTAGGGTGGCTGTAAGGATGACCTGGGTGAGGCTTTGTAGACTGTTTCTGTGGTTTGTTTAGCAAATACACATAGAAGACAGGCATGGACGCAGACTGTGCACCATGCACAGACAAGAGGGACAGGGTTACCAGATCAGTGTCGTTATTTGTCTAAAACAAAATCCCGAAGCCATAAAACAAGGCAAAATGTTAATATGTGTTAGTTTGGCCAGTCGACACTGGGCGTTTATGTTTCTCTTCGTATTTTTCTGTATGCTTGGACGATTTTGCAAATTGAACCTAAGAAATGAATAGGAATTAGTGAGGCCAGGAGGGAGGAGACAGAAGTCGCAGAGGGAAGGGCTCTAAGTGCCTCCTCTCATTTAGTCCTCAGAACCACCCCAGAGGGAAGAGCTGAGAGGCAGAGAGAATAATCACGACTGCAAACACTGATTCAGCTCTTCCCATGTCCCGGGCACCGGGCCAAGCATTTTATACGGGTACCTGGGTTTGGTGGCAGAAGGAGAGTGTGGAGGAGGCAGGGGTGAGTGGGGAGAGATGAAACTGGAAGAGTGAGGGGAGCGGAGATTCTGCAGGGCCTCCAAGGCCAGGCTTCAGGGCTGGGACTCAGTCTTGAGGCACTGGGGAGCTATGAGGGACTGTGGGCAGGGAGGGGCAGGGTGTGGAAAGACTCCTCTGGGGCCGTGGTGGGGATGGGCTGAGGTGGGGGAGACTGGAGGTGGGAGGAGGCTGGGAGGAGGCTGGGGCAAGGGCCAAGGAGAGCGGACGAGGCCTGAGCCAGGATGCAGCAGAGGGGACGAGGGGCAGGAAGCTGAGGGCTGTGACACTATGACAATGACAAGGAGGGAGGGGCCCAGACGGACCAGTGACTGGGGGTACAGAAAGATCGACAGCACCAGGGAGGAAGGAGGAGCAACTTCAGGGAGAGACTGAGCTCCTCTCTGGCCCCTGGGAATCCACAGGTCTTCTCCCTGATTATCTTCTCATCCCTGCTGACCGATGGCTACCAGAACAAGATGGAGTCTCCGCAGCTCCATTGCATTCTCAACAGCAACAATGTGGCCTGCAGCTTTGCCGTGGTAGCTGGCTTCCTGGCCTTCTTCAGCTGCCTGGCCTTCCTCGTCCTGGACACCCAGGAGACCCACATTGCTGACACCCGCTTCAAGACAGCCTTCCAGCTCCTGGACCTCATCCTGGCTGGTAAGCCCCCAGGACCTCCCACCCAGAGCTGCCCCTCCTCCTGCTCACAGCCCTCCTGGCTCCCCAGGGCCTCCCGGGCACAACCCTTCAGCCGGCCTCCACCCTGACCGTCCTCCCAGCAGGAGGCATCTGACCACAAGTGGCCCAGAGCTTCTCACTGCTCCTGACACCTGCTGTCTCCTCCTGGGGAATTATTATTACCCTTTAGACTCTGGGTAAGGGTCACCTCTTCTGACCCCCAGGCAAATTATAGCAGCCTCCCTTCTGCCCTGTATTTTCTTTGCTTCCCTCGTTCACAGAAAATCTTTATTTTTATTATTTTTTGGAGGGGATGGAGTCTCACTCTGTCGCCAGGCTGGAGTGCACTGGCACAGTCTCGGCTCACTGCAACCTCCGCCTCCCGGGTTCAAGCGATTCTTCTGTCTCAGCCTCTCGAGGAGCTGGGATTACAGGCGCATGCCACCATGCCCAGCTAATTTTTTTTGTATTTTAGTAGAGACGGGGTTTCACCGTGTTAGCCAGGATGGTCTCGATCTCCTGACCTCGTGATCTGCCCGCCTCTGCCTCCCAAAGTGCTGGGATTACAGGCTTGAGCTACCACGCCCAGCCAAAGTCTTGCCTCCTAACCACTGCCAAACACTCCCGATGGAGCCTGGCACACATCTAGCACAAAATGTGTGTCCTTCTTTGGGGCCTGACCTCCTTCCTCTCAGTCTATTTGATCTCAACTCCTCCCCACCCTGCCGCTCCTCCTTCCCACTGGGCCACTCCCAGTGACTTAGGGCCAAGGGAGCCCTGGAAGGTCATTCAATCTAGTGCTATGCAGGAGAACTCCCTGTGAGGGTGGAAATGTTCTGGTGCCCGCACTTTCTCATGCAGGAGCCACTTCCCGCCCGTGGCTACTAAGCACTTTAAAATGCAGCCACTGGCGGGACGCGGTGGCTCACTCCTGGAATCCTGGCACTTTGGGAGGCCGCGGCAGGCAGATCACTTGAGGCCAGGAGTTCGAGACCAGCCTGGCCAACAGGCGAAACCCCGTCTCTACTGAAAATACAAAAATTAGCTGGGCAGGGAAGTGAGTGCCTGTAATCCCAGCTACTCGGAAGGCTGAAGCGGGAGAATCGCTTGAATCCGGGAGGCAGAGCTTGTAGTGAGCTGAGATTGCACCACGGCACCCCAGCCTGGGCAACAGAGCCAGACTCTGTCTCAACAACAACAACAACAAAAAGAAATGTGGCCAGTGCAGCTGAGAAACTTTTTTTTTTTTTTTTTTTTTTTGAGACAGAGTTGCACTCTGTCGCCCAGGCTGGAGTGCAGTGGCACAATCTCAGTTCACTGTAACCTCCGCCTCCCAGGTTCAAGCGATTCTCCTGCTTCAGCCTCCCGAGTAGCTGGGACTACAGGCGCCCGCCACCATGCCTGGCTAATTTTTCTTTTTTTCAGTAGAGACGGGGTTTCGCCATGTTGCCTGGGCTGGTCTCGAACACCTGGCCTCAAGTGATCCACTTGCCTCAGCTTCCCAAAGTGCTGGGATTACAGGCGTGAGCCACCACGCCCGGCCTAAAATCCTGTGTTAATGAATAGAAATTTAAACAGCTGCATGTGGCCGGCAGCTCCTGTATTAGACAGCGCAACTCTGCTCCAGCAGCTCGCTCTAGGGAAGGCAAGGAGGGATTGGGGAATGACTCCTGGGAGATGTGTCAACACAGAAGCTGATACAAAAAGTATTTTTCAATAACACGTAGAAGGTCGTGCAGCAAGACCGCCAGCCCCATCCTTCCCATGCCTCAGCAGCCCTGCCTGAGCGAGCTTTCCTCCTGCCCCCTCTTCTCTCCCTGTGACACCGCAGTTCTCTGGGCAGTTGTCTGGTTCGTGGGTTTCTGCTTCCTGGCCAACCAGTGGCAGCATTCGCCGCCCAAAGCGTTCCTCCTGGGGAGCAGCAGTGCCCGGGCGGCCATCGCCTTCACCTTCTTCTCCATCCTTGTCTGGGTGAGGACAAGCCCCTCCACCGCCCCTCCCTAGGAGGGGCACCATCTGCAGGGTGGGGTTGAAAGGGCTAGAACATTCCTGCTCTCACTTAGCTCCCCTGGGAGCCAGGGACGAGGGGGCTCCCCCAGGACTCCGCTGGTCCCTTCCAGGTGCCGCTTTGTCTGAGCAGCCACAGCCCAGCATCAGGGCCTGTGCTTTGGCCCAGGGCTCCTGGACAGTGAGCAGTCCAAACACCGGTACCCTTTGTCTCCTTCCCAGGCCAGTCCCCAGCCCAGTCCCTCTCCTGACCTGCCCAGCCCAAGCCAGCCTTCAGCACGCTGTTTTCTGCCCACAGATATTCCAGGCCTACCTGGCATTCCAGGACCTCCGAAATGATGCTCCAGTCCCTTACAAGCGCTCCCTGGATGAGGGCGGCATGGTGCTGACCACCCTCCCCTCGCCCTCCGCCACCAGCTCTGTGAACATGCCCACCACTGGCCCCAACAGCCTGAGTTATGCCAGCTCTGCCCTGTCCCCTTGTCTGACCGCTCCAAAGGCCCCCCGCCTCGCTATGATGCCTGACAACTAAATATCCTTATCCACATCAATAAAGAGAGAATCCTCCCTCCAGAAGGGTTTCTAAAAACAGCCCTCAGTCCTTATCATGTCTGTTCCACTCTTTTCCCTTGAGTGGCGAGGGTGGGTAAGAATCCCACAAGGTCACCATTGGGGTCTCTGCACTGGGTCACATTTCCATAGCATCCTCTGGAGCCATCATTGGGGCACCACCTTGACAGTGATGGATTGGAAGTGGTGAGAGGAGGGAAGCACTTTTTTTTTTTTTTGGGACAGAGTCTCACTGTGTCGCCCAGGCTGGAGTGCAGTGGCACAATCTCAGCTCACTGCAACCTCTGCCTTCCAGGTTCAAGCAATTCTCCTGCCTCAGCCTCCCTAGTAGCTGGCATTACAGGTGCGCACCACCAAGCCTGGCTAATTTTTGTATTTTCAGTAGAGACGGGGTTTTACCATGTTGGTCAGTCTGGTGTCGAACTTCTGACCTTGTGATCCGCCCACCTCGGCTTCCCAAAGTGCTGAGATTACAGGCGTGAGCCACCACGCCTGGCCAGGAAGCACTTTTTTCAGGCCTGTTGCACACTAAGTCCTGTCATTACTCCTTGAGTCCCCACACTGGCCAGGGGAGGGAGGCACAAGGAGCCTCCTCTTACAGTTGAGGAAGCAAAAGTTCAGAGAGAGAAAATGCTTCCGCCTGTGGAGAGAACACCAAAAAGAAGGGCCAACAATGGGACCCAGCCCTGTCACTCAAGCCCAAGCCCTTTCACTCCCCACGGTGACCAAAGACTAAAAACCATGGCGTGTGAGGAGTCGGTGAAGGAACGAGGTGCTGAGTCCGCAAACGAGATTCAAGGGAGACCCTTGTCTTCAAATATTTCAAAGAATATCTTTGGGGAGGAGGGGTTTTTATTCCAGGAGAACCCCAGTGGTAAGCGGGGGACTCAGGCACAGGCCACAAACATTCCGACCTGTAGGAGCCAGGCAGGAAACCCCAGTGGGTGAAGCGCCTATTAAGGGAGTAGTGGGGACAGGGCCACGTCCAGGAGGGGCAGCCTCCAATCAGCGCACATTCAGTAACGGGGCCTGAAGTTTCTTTTCTTTTCTTTTCTTTCTGAGATGGCATCTTGCTTTGCAGCCCAGACTGGAGTGCAGTGGTACAATCATAGCTCTCTACAGCTTTGACCTCTTGGCATCAAGCAATCCTCCTGCCTCAAGCCCCAAAGTAGCTGGGACTACAGGTGTGTGCCGCCACTCCCAGCTAATTTTTCAATTTTTTGAAGAGATGGGATCTCACTGTTGCCCAGGCTGGTCTTGAACTCCTGGGTTCAAGCAGTCCTCCTGCCTTGGCCTCCCAAAGTGCTGGGATTCTAGGCATGAGCCACCACTTGGCCAGCCTGGGGTTTCTAGAACAGTGCTGTCCACTTGAAATCTGATGTGACACCCAAGGAGAGTTTAAAATAGTCTAGTGGCCACATTGAGAAAAGTAAAACAAGGCTGGATGTGGTGGCTCATGCCTGTAATCCCAGCACTTTGAAAGGCCAAGGTGGGCGGATGACTTGAGGAGGCCAGAAGTTCAAGACCAGCCTGACCAACATGGTGAAACCCCGTCTCTACTAAAACTACAAAAATTAGTCGGGTATGCCTGTAATCCCAGCCACTTGGGAGTCTGAGGCACGAGAATCACTTGAAACCAGGAGGTGGAGGTTGCTGTGAGCCAAGATTACGCCACTGCACTCCAGAACGAGACTCTGTCTCAAAAAAGAAAAAAGTAAAATGAAACAAGTGAAATTAATTTTAATATTTTATTTATGTCAATATATCCAAAATATCATTTCAACATGTAATCAACATAAAAATAATTAGTGAGGCATTTTCCACTCTTTGGTACTAAGTTGTTGAAACCCATTGTGTATTTACACCAATAGCACGCCTCAGTGTGGACTCGCCAGGTTTCAGGGGCTCAACGGTCACACATAACCACTGGCCACCCTACCAGACAGTGCAGCTATAGAAACTCCAGTTTTTCTACGACAATTTGGACATCCATTCTGTGAGAGGGTTTTAAAATGTGAAATCTGCCGGGCGCGGTGGCTCACGCCTGTAATCCCAGCATTTCGGGAGGCCAAGGCGGGTGGATCATGAGGTCAGGAGTTTGAGACCATCCTGGCTAACATGGTGAAACCCCGTCTCTACTAAAAATATAAAAATTCGCCGGGCATGGTGGCGGGCGCCTGTAATCCCAGCTACTCAGGAGGGTGAGGCAGGAGAATCGCTTGAACCCAGGAAGGGAGGTTGCAGTGAGCTGAGATCGCGCCACTGCACTCCAGCCTGGGCGACAGAGTGAGACTCCGTCTCTAAATAAAATAAAATAAAATGTGAAATCAGGCCAGGTGCGGTGACTCACACCTATAATCCCAGCACTTTGGGAGGCCGAGGTGGGTGGATCACAAGGTCAGGAGTTCAAGACCAGCCTGACCAACATGGTGAAACCCCACCTCTACTAAAAATACAAAAATTAACCAAAAAACACAAAAATTAACAAATACAAAATTTACAATTTGTATTTGTAAAAATACGAAAATTAACGACAACCAGCAGGTACCTGTAGTCCCAGCTATTCAGGAGGCTGAGGCAGGAGCATTGCTTGAACCCAGGAGGCGGAGGTTGCAGGGACCCGAGATGGCGCCACTGTACTTCAGCCTGGGTGACAGAGCAAGACTCCATCTCAAAAAAAGAAATTGAAATCGGTGGGCAACAAATACAAAATAAACGTTGGGTAGGCCAAATGAAACACACCGCCCGGGGCCATCGTGGCCTGCAGAGCACTAGTTCACAAAGCGGACGAAAGGATACGAGACGTGGGGAATCAAATTTGGGTTCCATTAGTCCTTTTCTGGAGGCTTCCTGTGTGGCTGGCCCTGTACCTGGAGGTGCAGAAATAACTACGTGAGGCCGGGCGCGGTGGCTCACGCCTGTAATCCCAGCACTCTGGGAGGCCGAGGCAGGCAGATCACGAGGTCAGGAGATCGAGACCATCCTGGCTAACACGGTGAAACCCCGTCTCTACTAAAAATACAAAAACTTAGCCAGGCCTGGTGGCGGGCGCCTGTGGTCCCAGCTACTCGGGAGGCTGAGGCAGGAGAATGGCGTGAACCCAGGAGACGGAGCTTGCAGTGAGCCAAGATCGCGCCACTGCGCTCCAGCCTGGGCGATAGAGCAAGATTCTGTCTCAAAAAAAAAAAAAAAAAAGAAATAACTACGTGGTCCCGCTGGGCGTAGAGAGAAAACAGTAGCAGCGCAGGGAGACAGGAAGTGTTCTGACACGGAAATGAAAGGACTCAGCGCTAGACATCCCTCTGGATAAGCTTGGGTGTGTCACTGGGCCCGAGTTGTATTGGCTATAAAACTAAATAATCAGATTTTTTTTTTTTTTCAAAGACAGGATCTCTGTTGCCCAGGCTGTTCCCACCTCAGCCTCCTGAGTAGCTGGGACCAAAGGTGCAGGCCGCCATGCCCGGTTAGTTTTTTGTTTTTTATTTATTTATTTTTTTTGAGATGGAGTCTCACTCTGTCACCCAGGCTGGAGTGCAATGGCTCAGTCTCAGCTCACCGCAACCTCTGCCTCCCAGGTTCAAGTGATTCGCCTGCCTCAGCCTCCTGAGTAGTTGGGACTACAGGCGCATGCCACCCAGCTAATTTTTGTATTTGTAGTAGAGATGGGGTTTCACTATGTTGGCCAGGCTGATCTCGAATTCCTGACCTCGTGATCCACCCACCTTGGCCTCCCAAAGTGCTGGGATTAGAGGCGTGAGCCACCACGTCCGGCCTCTTTTTTTTGTTTGTTTTAAAGAGGGTGTCTCACTCTTTTGCTCAGGCTGGTCTTGAACTCCTGGGCCCGAATAATTCTCTCACCTCCACTTTCCAAAGTGCTGGCATTACAGGCGTGAGCCACTGCATTCAGCTAAAGAATTGAACCGGATTCAGATGGATGCTTTTCAGACTCTTCAAAGAGATGCCAGCCAGGCACGGTGGCTCATGCCTATAATCCCAGCACTTTGGGAGGCCAAGGCGGGTGGATCACCTCAGGTCAGGAGTTCAAGACCAGCCTGGCCAACATGGTGAAACCCCATCTCTAAAAAATACAAAAATTGGGCTGGGCACAGTGGCTCACACCTGTAATCCCAGTACTTTGGGAGGCCGAGGCAGGTGGATCACTAGGGAAGGAGTTCAAGACCAGCCTGGCCAAGATGATGAAACCCCGTCTCTACTAAAAATACAAAAATTAGCCAGTTGTGGTGGTGGGCACCTGTAATCTCAGCTACTTGGGAGGCTGAGGCAGAGAACTGCTTGAATCTGGGAGGCAGAGTTTGCAGTGAGCCAAGATCGCGCCACTGCACTCCAGCCTGGGTGACAGAGCAATACTTTATATTAAAAAAAAAAAAGGCCGGGCGCGGTGGCTCAAGCCTGTAATCCCAGCACTTTGGGAGGCCGAGACGGGTGGATCACGAGGTCAGGAGATCAAGACCATCCTGGCTAACATGGTGAAACCCCATCTCTACTAAAAAATACAAAAAACTAGCCGGGCGAGGTGGCGGGCGCCTGTAGTCCCAGCTACACAGGAGGCTGAGGCCGGAGAATGGCGTAAACCCGGGAGGCGGAGCTTGCAGTGAGCTGAGATCCGGCCACTGCACTCCAGCCCGGGCGACAGAGCGAGACTCCGTCTCAAAAAAAAAAAAAAAGAAAATCAGCTGGGCACAGTGGCAGGCACCTGTAGTCCCAGCTACTCGGGAGGCTGAGGCAGGAGAATCGCTTGAGCCTGGGAGGCAGAGGTTGCAGTGAGCTGAGATTGTGCCACTGTACTCCAACCTGGGCCATGAAGCAAGACTCTCTCTCAAAAAAACAAAAAAGCAAAAAAAAAAGAGATGCCTCGGGGCTGGGTGTGGTGGCTCATGCCTGTAATCCCAGCACTTTGGGAGGCTGAGGCTGGAAGACTTGAAGTCAGGAGTGTTTGAGACCAGCCTGGCCAACATGGTGAAATCCTGTCTCTACCAAAAAATACAAAAATTAGACCGGGTGCGGTGGCTCACACCCGTAATCCCAGCAACTTTGGGAGGCTGAGCCAGGTGGATCACCTGAGGTTGGGAGTTTAAGACCAGCCTGGCTAACATGGTGAAACCCCGTCTCTAAAAAATACAAAAATTAGCTGTGTGTGGTTGCGGGCACCTGTAGTCACAGCTACTTGGGAGGCTGAGGCAGGAGAATTGCTTGAACCCAGGAGGCGGAGGTTGCAGCGAGGTGAGATCGCATCACCGCAGTCCGGCCTGGGTAACAGAGGAAGATTCTGTCTCAAAAAAAAAAAAAAAAAGATTAGCCAGGTTTGATGGTACACGCCTGTAGTCCCAGCTACTCTGGAGGCTGAGGTAGGAAAATCACTTGAACCAGGGAGGCAGAGGTTGCAGTGAGAGAAGATCGTGCCACAGCATTCCAGCCTGGGAGAGTGAGAAAAAAAAAAAAAGAAAAAAAACAGGTGGCTTGGGTTGAGCAGGCAGCAATACAACCCCTTCCCCAGTCAACCCCAGCGAGTGAGCAGCCCTGCTCCTGTTTTCCATATTCGGCTTCCAGGCACAAATCTAAACAGAAGGTCCCTTGACTTAAGAGAAAGAAACAACAACAACAAAAAACACTGAAAAACCACATAGCGTTGGTTAAACACACAAGCTCTAGCATCACAAAGCCCAGGTGCAGAGCCCACCTTTGCCACTCACCCCTCTGAACCTGTTTCCTCATCCACAAACTGCTCCCTCTGTAGGGACGCCGTGAGGGTCGCAGGAGCTCATCCACGCAACACACAGGGCCTGGCCCATTTCAAGAGCTCATGAAACGCCAGCTCCCGGCCTCCTCAGGCTTCCAGAGCCAGGCTCCAGGGAAGCCGCAGGCAGTTATACAGTTTAGGAAGGTCTTAGAGGACATCTAGGAAGTTTGACCTAGTCAAGGGTCAAAAATCCAAAAGCTAACAACAGCCAGGCAGGTAACATAAGTGAAGAAAGTAGGCCAGGTATGAGGCCAATCTGGAGAGAGACAAGGAAAATATTTCACTTTCCTCTTAACTTCACAAACAAACAAAAATAACCACATGGCGTCAGCCCAATAATAAATGTAACAAGCCTGCAGCCAAGTCCTGGGGACTGTGGTGAAAAGAGCTGCGTCCCATCCATTCAGATCCAGCCATCTGTTGCCATCCAGAAATGAGGACCCAGCATTGTTAGACTGATGGTTTTTTTTTTTTTTTTTTTCAAGAGAAGCCAGAAATCTAGATTCTAGACTTTAATGTGAAAATCTGGTTTTTAAAGGCTAGCGACCCATTATTTTTTTAAGAAAACAATGCCTCAACAAAAAATGTCAAGTTAGGGTGGGACGGGGGCTGCCCACGTGTGGTCCCTGACATACATGCTCTTTTTTTTTGTTTTGAGATGGAGTCTCACTCTGTCGCCCAGGCTGGAGTACAGTGGCGCAATCTCGGCTCACTGAAACCTTCGCCTCCTGGGTTCAAGCAATTCTCCTGCCTCAGCCTCCTGAGTAGCTGGGACTACAGGTGTGCACCACCAGGCCCAGCTAATTGTTTTCATATTTTTAGTAGAGACAGGGTTTCGCCATGTTGGCCAGGCCGGTGATCCTGACCTCAGGTGATCCACCCGCCTCGGCCTCCCAAAGTGCTGGGATTACAGGCATGAGCCACCACGCCCAGCCAATGCTCCTGAAGGTCCTCTGCAACCCTGAGGGTTTGGAGAACCATCAGACAAGTTCTGTGCCAAGGTAAGAAGACTCTTCAAGATTCTCTCCAAAACTTCTTCCCAGCAGCACCGCAAGGAACTGCACAGCTGAGAGTCTTGGGAGACCCAGTTTCTCCTCTTCCTGCTCCTCCCAGGCCTTGTCGCCTGCAGATGGTCAACAAGGCAAAAGCAGAAGCAGAAAGAAGGGCAGGGGCGAGACCCCACACACGCCAGAGACAGAGCGGCAAGGAGCAGCGAAAGAAAGGTTTCATTTTCTTCTGTTTATTTCAAGAGAACAAAGGATCAACCATCAGTTCTGTACAAAAACATGGTGTGAGAGCCATGGGACCCTCGGCCCAGCCCCCTTCCTGCACTTGAGCCCCAGGCCCCCCTAATTTGCCAAAAAACCATGAGAAGACCAAAAAACTCAAACTCTGGGGGAAAAAATTACTATGAAAAAAAATCAGGGGAGACCTTCCTGGGCCTCCCTTTCTCCCTATCCCCAACCTAGAAATTTAGGGGGGGTTGCAGTTCATGGCCATGGCAGGAGGTGGGGCAGATGGGTGTCGGCAGATTTAGTGTTTGGCAACCAGTGGGGCTGGGGGTGGGATCTGGGAGGGAGCCGAGGGGCCTGGGGAAGGGAAAAGATCTTGGACCCTGCCCCGGCCCCCAGGACACTCAAAAACACTTTATAAAAATTGGGGCCACAGAGTAGAAGAAAAACGAGTCATCAGAATCAAAAACTAAAGAGTGGAAAGATTTTTTTTTTTCTTCTCTAAAAGGCAAAAAACTACAAACAGCCCAAGTCCTGAGCTCCCCAAGACCTGGATCCTCCACTGTCCCCCTGAAACCCGGCAGGAGGCGGGATGGGGAGCGCGAGAGGTGGGCTCTTAAAAAAGTCACCCCTGGATGGGAAAGTTCTTCATCTTCTGCCGCCTTCCTCTGCCTCCCGCCGCTGCCGAGGAGAGAGATGGAGAGGACCGGGGCTATGCCGGCAAACTCAACTTCTTCCCCTTTAGGACTGTGAGGAGAGAAAACAGGGAGGACGTTACCGCTGGGGCCCCTGCAGGGAGGGGACAGTCTCCCACAGCCAGAGCAGGGCAGGCACACTAGATGGGCAGGTCCACAGGGAGGGAGGTCCCCAGGACTCACAAATACATTCCTGGTTTCTTTCTTTCCTACCCCTTCTCGCTACTGGCAATTCTCTTTCTTTTTTTGAGACAGCATCCCACTCTATAGCCCAGGCTGGAGTGCGGTGGCATAGTCACAGCTCCCTGCAGCCTTGACCTCCTCAAGCAATTCGCCCACCTCAGCCTCCCAAGGAGCTGGGACCACAGGCATGCACCACCATGCCCAGCTAATTTTTTAATGTTTTATTTGTTGTAGTGACAGGGTCTTGCTATGTTGCTCTGGAACTCCTAGGCTTAAGCACTCTCCCAAAGTGTTGGGATTACAGGCATGAGCCACTGTGCCTGGCCAATTCTCTTTCTATGTATTTTTTTAAGGGTTTTTGTTTTGTTTTGTTTTTCTGAGACAGGGTCTCACTCTGTCACCCAGGCAATCACAGCTCACTGCAGGCTTGAACTTCCCAGACTCAGGGGATCCTCCCACCTCAGCCTCCTGAGTAGCTGGAACCACAGGTGCATGCCACAACACCCAGCTAATTTTTCTATTTTTTTGTAGAGACAGGGACTCGCCATGTTGCCCAGGCTAGTCTCAAACTCCTGGGCTCAAGCCTTCCGCCCGCTGTGGCCTCTCAAAGTGCTGGGTTTATAGGCGTGAACCACCACGCCCGATCGATTATCTCTCTTTACTTGTTCATTCACCATCTCCTCCACCAGAATAAAAGGGAAATGGAGGTCTTTGTCTTTTCTCCTCCTACTGTATCCCCAGAGCCTAGCACCTGGCTGGGGACACAGAAAGTACTCAATACGTTCGTTGAATGAATAAATGAACGAATCTCAGTGGGCTGAGTCCCTGCCCTGCCTGGCCTGCACTCCAAGTGACACAGGGACTAAGGACAGAGGCTAACGGTCTGCATTCCTAGGAGGATGGTGGGCCTGCAACCCCAGAAACCAGGTGAAGAAACGCTCCCTCCTTTGCATAATACAGGGGTAAGGAGACAGACCCCAGGCTCCAGGGAGGGCAGGAGCCGCAGAAATAGGAGGTTCCCGTCCAGCCGCCCCACATCCCGGCTACCTTTGGTGATATAGAGGTAGAAGAAATCGCAGTAGAGGACTGTCTGGACCAGGCCTGCCACGATGGCGATGAGGTCGAAGAAGCCCTCGAAATGGTAGCGCCAGATCCAGTTGAAGAGATAGAGCGTGCGGTAAACGCCCAGCGCAAACAAGTAGTGGCTGGTGATGGTCTCCGCCTCGCCAGTCTTGCTCACCATGAACAGCTGCGGCAAGATGGCCACCGACTCCAGGTAGATGGAGAAGGTCCAGAGGATCTGCAGAGAGACCAAGGACAGGATGAGGTGGGAGGGGACAGGGCGGGAGAGAAGGCAGAGGACGACATGGCAGTTACAGGTGCTGCGAAGGTGGAGAGAGAAGGAAGGCAGTCCAGGCGCTGCCACGTGCCGCACACAGTTCTGCCTGAGTTACTGGTATCTCTGATTTAATCATCACCATGGCCCGGCGAGGAGATCCTATGATCAGCACACTTATTCTACAGATGAGGAAACTGACACCAGAGAAGGTAAGATACTCGCCCAAGACCATGTAGCCAGCAAGCAGCAGAGCAATGATTCGAACCAAGGATCTGCGGTCCATCCTCATGAACACTTTGCAGTCGAGCCTCTCTGAAAGGCAGGCTGGGCTGGAATCTTGCCTTGGAAATTTCCCTTCCTTTTTCTTCTTTTTGAGATGGAGTCTCACTCTGTCACCCAGGCTAGAGTGCAGTGGAGCGATCTCAGCTCACTGCAACCTCTGCCTCCTGGGTTCAAGTGATTCTCCCGCCTCAGCCTCCTGAGTAGCTGGGATTACAGGCGCCTGCCACCACATCCAGCTAATTTTTGTATTTTCAGTAGAGACAGGGTTTCACCATGTTGGCCAGGCTGGTCTCGAACTCCTGACCTCAGGTGGTCTGCCCGCCTCAGCCTCCTAAAGTGCTGGGATTACAGGCGTGAGCCACCGCGCCCGGCCCACATGCCATTTCTTGCGGCATGTTGCACATGCTGTTCCCGCAGCAGGAAAAGCTCTTCCCCACACTGTCACACATCTGCCTACTCCATATTCACCCAGCCTCAGCTCATCAGTCACCTCCTGAGAGGGACCCTCCCTGGCCATCCTTCCCCCAGGACTGTCACACCATCTTATCTCCTTCCTGGCCACCCGCACCAGCAATTGAGCTCCGTGAAGGCTGGGATCCTACTTCTTGTTCACCCCACGGCCGTAGCACCTAGTACAGTTCTTGAATGAGTGAGGAAATGGGAGCGAGCATCTATAAAGGGGTCCCCATGTGCTCAGCACAGGCCACCATTTAGGGAGCAGTGACAACCATCATTCATGAGCAGGACAGGACATCATGGGACAGGGGAGAAGACATCTGCCAGCCCCCTTTCAGTCCCCAGCTCCCTGAAAGTGCCACCTGGGGTGATGTGTGATCTGCAGACACACTGAAACCTCCCCTCAGAGTGCAAAGCCAGGTGGCAGGTGTGGCTCCTCGGCTGTCTTGGTTAGTGGGAGGAAGGTGGGGGCACCAGGACCTGTTCATAACAACTCCAGCTTTTCTAGCATTTACGACATCCAAGGCACCGCTCCTTAGGGTGTTCACTGGCCTGAGCCTTAACCCCATGAGGTAGGTACTATTGTCATTCCCATTGTACAGATGAGGAAACTGAGGCCCAAGGGATAAGAAACGTGTCCAGATTCCCACTGAGGCAGGTAGAGTCCAGGACCTGCTCCCAGAATCCTGCAGAATCCTCCAGAATCTTCCAGGGAGGCTCTCGTCAAGCCAGGTTAGTTAATGCTGCTGGGACACGAAACCATGAAATTCATGCCCATTCAACTCTTACCCCTGGGGTTGCCCTTAGGGAATAGAGTCATAGCTCAGGCAGAGATAGAAGGTCTGTTGCATTTTTTTTTTTTTTTCCTGAGGCCGAGTTTCGCTCTTGTCACCCAGGCCGGAGTGCAGTGGCGCAATCTTGGCTCACTGCAAACCTCCGCTTCACGGGTTCAAGTGATTCTCCTGCCTTAACCTCCCAAGTGCCTGGAATTACAGGCACTCACCACCACGCCCAGCTAATTTTTGTATTTTTTTTTAGTAGAGACAGGGTTTCACCACATTGGCCAAGCTGGTCTTGAACTCCTCACCTCAAGTGATCCACCCATCTCAGCCTCCCAAAGTGCTGGGATTATAGGCGTGAGCCACTGCACCCAGCCCTATTGCATTTTTATCTATTCCATGATGTCGAATTTTTTATTTTTTTATTTTTTATTTTTTTGAGACGGTGTCTTGCTCTGTCACCCAGGCTGGAATGCAGTGGTGCGATCTCAGCTCACTGCAACCTCTGCTGGCCAGGTTCAAGTGATTCTCCTGCCTCAGCTTCCCGAGTAGCTGAGATTATAGGTGCGTGCCACCACGCCCGGCTAGTTTTTGTATTTTTAGTAGAGATGGGGTTTCAGCATCTTGGCCGGGCTGGTCTTAACTCCTGACCTCGTGATCCATGATCCACCTGTCTCAGCCTCCCAAAGTTCTGGGATTACAGGCATGAGCCGCTGCGCCCAGCCTGTCTGAATTTTTAAAGAATATTTTCCTTAGGCCAGGCATGGCAGCTCACACCTGTAATCCCAGCACTTTGGAAGGCTGAGGCAGGCGGATCACTTGAGGCCAGGAGTTCAAGACCACCCTGGTCAACATGGCAAAACCGTCTCTCCTAAAAATACAAAAAAATTTCACCTGGGCATGGTGGCCGCTGCCTGTAATCCCAGCTACTCGGGATGCTGAGGCATGAGACTCTCTTGAACCCGGGAAGCAGAGGTTGCAGTGAGCTAAGATCATGCCACCGCACTCCAGTCTGGGCGACACAGCAAGGCTCAAAAAAAAAAAGAGGCCTGTGTTCTGGTCTGGCCTCCTCCACCTTTAGCAAGCCGCACTACCTCCCTCAGCCTCAGTCAGTCTCCCCATCCTCAAAATGGGTCTAGTAATCCCTAGTCAACAGGACAGTTATGAGCTAAGTCAAGGGCTTGGATAAGTGATTCAAGCAAGGTGATAACAATATATTTGCAAAATCCAGGATTCCCGCCACAGTATGATGCAGCCTCCCTCTGGTATCTCTGACCCATGGGCCAAAGTCACCCTCTGTTGGATTTGTCTGGCCTGTACAGTGCTTTTAGAGCTATATTTTGAAGGCCAGGCACAGTGGCTCATGCCTGTAGTCCTAGCACTTTGGGAAGCCGAGATGGGAGGATGGCTTAAGACCAGGAGTTTGAGACCCGCCTGGTCAACATGGCAAAACCCCATCTCTACTAAAAACACAAAAATTAGCCAAGCACGGTGGCAAGCGTCTATAATCCCAGCTACTCAGGAGGCTGAGGCAGGAGAAACACTTGACTCGGGAGGCGGGAGCTGCAGTAAGCCAAGATCACGCCACTGCACTCCAGCCTGGGCGACAGAGCGAGACTCCGTCTCGAAAAAAGAAAGAAAGCAAGCAAGAAAGCAAGATAGTTTGAATCTGTGGCTAAAATTTTAAAATGCGACATCTTGCCTGAAAACTCCTGAATTATGGCTTCTGTTGAAAAGATCAGCACATCTGGCCACCCAGGCCTATCTTCCTATAAGGCAGGAGTGGGCACAGGTAAGAAAAGGTTGCCCTGAATTTATTATTGCCAGGCCCCAGGACGCAAGAGATCGCAAACTTAGCATTGGTTCTCCCAAAATTCCTCCCAGGAGTTTGTACAGGTTCCAGCAAAAACACCATAGAATAAAAAAATCATAACAGCAAACATTTAAAAGTATGAGAGATGGGACTAAACACTTCAGTCACCGAACACTGACACGGCACTTCCTACCTCACCCCAGACACTGTGCTTTATTCATACCAACCTCTCATTTGAACCCGATGACACAGGAACTGATTATCTCCATTTTACAGATGAGGAAACTGAGGCACAGGGTAGTTATGTGATTTGCCCAGAATCCCATAGCTGCTATGTGGTAGAGGCAGGATCCAAATCTTTACACTCTGATTCTAGAGTCTTTATGTGTTTTGACACCAGGCAATGCTCCAAAATCTCAGTAAATTCTCACAATGACCTGATCACAACTTTACAAATGTGGAAACCGAGGTACAGAGAGGTCAAGTCACATGCCCAGGATCATGCTAATAGAAACTAGCAGATTTGGGGCCAGGCATGGTGGCTCATGCCTGAGGTCAGGAGTTCGAGACCAGCCTGGCCAAAATGTTGAAACCCTGTCTCTACTAAAAATACAAAAATTATACTGGCGTGGTGGTGGGCAAATCTGCAATCTCAGCTACTCAGGAGACTGAGGCAGGACAATCACTTGAACCTGGAAGGTGGAGGTTGCAGTGAGCCAGAATCGTGCCACTGACTCCAGTCTGGGCAACCAAGCGAGGCTGTTTCAGAAAAAATAAAGAAAGAAAAAAGAAACTAGCAGATTTGGAATTCAAATTCAGGAAGGCTGGGCCAGGTGTGGTGGCTCACACCTATAATCCCAGCACTTTGGGAGGCCAAGAGAGGCAGATTATTTGAGCCCAGGAGTTTGAGACCAGCCTGGTCAACATGCGAAACCCTGTCTCGACTAAAAATACAAAAATTAGCAGAGCATGGTGATGTGCACCTGTCTTCCCAACTACTCGGGAGGCTGAGGCAGGATAATTGCTTGAACCTGGGAGGCGGGGGTTGCAGTGAGCCGAGATCGTGCCACTGCACTTCGGCCTGGGCAACAGAGTGAGACTCTGCCTCCAAAAAAAAAAAAGGATCCCTAAGCCTCAGTTTCCTCATCTGTAAAATGGGGCTGCTGAGAAAGGTAAGTAGGTGAAATGCTTAGGGTAGTGACTTGTGAGACATAGTGAGTCTTGCTGCTGTTGTGTGAATCTCCTCTGACCCCACAGCCCATGCACTGAACTTATGCATCCTAAAATAAGGCAGTTTGGGCATAGCCTGCAGAAGGAAGCCTGTGAGAGGGTCTCCTGTCACCGCTACTCTGCCACAACCATCCCCCCAAATAAGGAGTCACAGCAAGGCGCCTACCTCCAGAGGGGTGAAGTCATGATTGACCAGGAATGCCAGAATGGCTGTGGGAACGACCAGGAACTCCACTCTGAATGTGTCATGGTTCCCATCGTAAGTGGCTTTGAACTTGCTATAAATCAACCAGACCGTGGTGAAGGAGCAGGCTATGTAGACCACCTGAGGAGGAGGATGATGAGAAGGGGCCTCAACTCACAGGCCAGGGTCTGTGCCCCAGCAGGCTCAGACCCAGGAGTCCAGACCCCTCCCTCAGACCCAGGAGTGCAGGCCCCCAGCCCCTCCTCCCTCAGACCCAGGAGTCCAGGCCCCCAGCCCCTCCTCCCTCAGACACAGGAGTGCAGGCCCCCAGCCCCTCCTCCCTCAGACCCAGGAGTGCAGGCCCCCAGCCCCTCCTCCCTCAGACTCAGGAGTCTGGGACCCACACCCGGCTCCAGTGCTTCAGTGGGGGCCAGAGGGGTGGGGAGGAGTCTCTACCTTCATACACGTGTTGTAGAGTGAGATGTAGTTGGTGAAGAGGTCCAGATATCGGGCAGTGAACACCACAGCAAACAGGACCTGGCTCTTCCCTGAAATTCCTGTGGTCCAGAGAGAGACAGAGAGAGGGAAAGAGAGAGAGGGAGACAGAGAGAGAGCGAGCAAGAGAGAGAGGAGGCTGGGGGTGGGCTGCATGGGCAATAAACTAAGGCACGGCGCCCGGGACCAGCCTGGAGGCAGCTCTGGAGTGCAGCTGTCCCCGGAGGCCTCCCCAGCCCGCCCCGCCTCATCAGGGCCCTTTCCCACGGCCCACAGCCAGGGGGCAGCCCAGGCCCCCGAAGCTACTCCAGCCCGAGGCTCCGTCCCAGACTAGGCCTCATGGCCACCCCTGACCCCCTCAGGGTCCTCCTTCAGTCCGGACCTGAGGTGGGGCCTAGGGAGGACCTCCCCTGACCTCAGCCCCCCGATCTGGTCACCTTCCTCCCGTTCCCTTCCTGGCCGCCACGGTCCACGTCACCAACTCACAGCCACCTCCCCGCCTGCCATGGTTCCCTGTTCCCGGTCCGTGAACCCTCGGGCTGCCCAGACTGAGGCTGGGGGTGGCTGAATTGGGGGCCTAAAGCCATTCACATCAAACTGTATGCACCCCCGCCAGTCTGGGGAAGGGAGCTGATCCCCTGGAGACCCAGAACCTAGAAGAGAGATCCCCCAGCAAGCAGTGGGGGTGGAACCTGTGCCCCTAGTGCCCCCAAACCCTGCCTGAGTCCTGGGACGCCCCCAACCCCCGCCCTCAATCTCTCTCCTTCGCCAGCCCTGGTGGGCCTCTCACCGGCACACGAGCGGGACTTCCAGATTTTGAGCAGTAGCAAGATGATGGCGAGGAGGTGGGAGAGGTCTCCCAGGAATCGGAAGAGATTCATGGCTGGGGGGCCCTGGCAGGGCTGAGTGGGAGGGAGGCAGGCTGGCGGGGGGCTGCCCCCCGAGGCTGCTGGTCTGAACGGGAGGCTGGGCTGGGGGAAAGGGAGAGGGACCCTAGGTGCGCTCCGCTCCGGGGAGGGGACTCTGGGAGGGGGAGCAAAGGCCGGAGCTGGCGGCGGAGCTGGAGCCGGGAAGAGGGAGGAGAGCGGGAGGGGGAGGAGTCCGGGCCGGGAGGCTCCGCCCCCGAGGGCGGGGCCCGGATCCCCGGCGCCCCCTATCGTCCACCTCCTGCTTTGCCGTGGCGGCGCTAAATGCACCCCCAAAGCTGCCCCTTAGGAACTTGGGAGGGTCGCAGGGTTCGGAAAGTGCCAAATCCGGCACCGGCTTGCCCAGGCAGTCTGTGTCTCTGGAAGGGACGCAGTCTAGTACACCACCCTCAGCCCTTGCAGGGATGTAGAGGCTGCCCTCTGAGCTTTAAAAATCCTGCAGGAACCCAGAGGCTCAGCTGCCAGCTTCTGCCCCTTTCAGGCACTCTAGCTCCAATCCCCCAGAAGACAAGAAAGATACCCCACCCACTTCCTCCCCTAGACCCAGGACTCAAGGCCCCAGCCCGTTCGTCAGACCCAGCAGTCTAGGTCCCCAGCCCCTCCTCCCTCAGACCCAGGAGTCCAGGCCCCCAGCCCCTCCTCCCTCAGACCCAGGAGTCCGGGCCCCTCCTCCTCCCTCAGACCCAGGAGTCCAGGGCCCCCAGCCCCTCCTCCCTCAGACCTAGGAGTCCAGGGCCCCCAGCCCCTCCTCCCTCAGACCCAGGAGTCCAGGGCCCCCAGCCCCTCCTCCCTCAGACCCAGGAGTCCAGGCCACCAGCCCCTCCTCCCTCAGATCCAGGAGTCCAGATCCCCAGCCCCTCCTCCCTCAGACCCAGGAGTCCAGGCCCCCCACCCCCTCCTCCCTCAGACCCAGGAGTCCAGGCCCCCAGCCCCTCCTCCCTCAGACCCAGGAGTTCAAGACCCCCAGGTCCTCCTCACTCAGACCCAGAAATCCAGACACCCAGCCCTCCTCCCTCAGACCCAGGAGTCCAGGCCTCCAGCCCCTCCTCCCTCAGACCCAGGGGTCCAGTCCCCACAGCCCCTCCTCCCTCAGACCCAGGAGTCCAGACACCCAGCCCTCCTCCCTCAGACCCAGGAGTCCAGGCCCCCAGCCCCTCCTCCCTCAGACCCAGGAGTCCAGGCCCCAGCCCCTCCTCCCTCAGACCCAAGAGTCCAGGCCCCCAGCCCCTCCTCCCTCAGACCCAGGAGTCCAGACCCCCAGCCCCTCCTCCCTCAGACCCAGGAGTCCAGACACCCAGCCCCTCCTCCCTCAGACCCAAGAGTCCAGGCCCCAGCCCCTCCTCCCTCAGACCCAAGAGTCCAGGCCCCCAGCCCCTCCTCCCTCAGACCCAGGAGTCCAGACCCCCAGCCCCTCCTCCCTCAGACCCAGGAGTCCAGGGCCCCAGCCCCTCCTCCCTGAGACTCAGCAGTCCAGGGCCGCAGCCCTTTTCCCTCCTAGGATGCTGTTCTTTGGAACTTAGGGTCCCACCCCCACCATCTTATGGCTCAAGCTTCCTAACCTTAAGAATCTAGATCTACGGTTTCTTTCTCCCTTTACGACCCACACATTTAGGCCCTGATTCTCTTCTTTTTCAGGAATGTGCACCTCACTCTGCTCTCCCAGACCTTGAGGATGAAGGAAACAGGAACCCCACCCAGGAAGCTCAAGGCTGAAACTCTGACCCAAACTATCTCAGGAGCCCCTGGCCCTGGCTTCCTCCCTGCTCCAGAATTTCTGCCCTGCCCACACACACACACACCCTCTTCCACCCTCAGAGGCCCAGCGGTCCTGCCCCATGCTCTACCCTAGAGCCGCACCGGTGGCTTTATAAAAGTGCCGGGCCCAGCCCCCTAGGAGGGGAATAGTGGGCATCTGGGTGTGGGACCCTCGGGGAACAGCCTGTGGTCTGGACTCCTGCGTCTACGAGGAGACAGATGCTGCTTCCCTTCTGGATGATGGGGTACCCGCAGGTGATGGAGGCCAGGGTCCCTCAATAAAAGAAGGGGAGCAGGCATGTTGGTTTCTTCAGAGGGTTGGAAGGACTGGGTCCAAGGGGGACATCCACGAGTCTTGGGTCCCTGAAGGTGGCTTGTACTGGGGGAGAGTCTGGATGACAGAGTCCTTAAAAGAGACTCTGCCTTGGAGGCGGGCCCCAAATCCCTGGGTCCCAGTGGAGAGGGGACTCCTGGGTCTGAGGGAGAAGGGACTGGGGGGCGGGACTCCTGGGTCCACGGTGGAGACCTGCTTTTCAGGCCTGGCCTTGTGGGGCAATAAAAGCCACAGATTGGGTCTTAGTATGGCGAACACTGAAGTCAGGGAAAGGCCTCCTGTTTCCAGAGCCTCAAGGCAGGGATGGGGCAGAAGGCAACAACCCCCAGACCTGAAGTCTAGCTCTGAAGCTGATGTCTCCATACCGGGTTCTGAGTCCCTGCTCAGTCCCCAACCCGACTTCTTCCTTCCGTTTTATTTTCAGCCCCTCACTCCCCTGTCCCAGGAGGAAGGCAGAGGCTGGTAGCCGGGGTGGGGGGCGGCCCCCTCCCCAAGCCTAGCAGGAGGAGGGGTCCCCAGGGAGGCCAGGAGGGGGGGCTGTGGGTCTCCCGGCAGTGGCGGACGGGGACTGAATGTTAATCGCATCCCGAGTGAGTGTGTGTGTGCGAGAACACAGCAAGTGTGTGAGTCCCTCCCGCTCCGGCTCCTCCAAGCCGCGGCCGCCGCCGCCACCCTCGCCCGCAGCCTCCCGCAGCCTCCCTCGGCCACCGGTGCCCTGCTGGGGGGTGTCGCCTGGGTGGGTCCGCCTGGCCCCCAGGGGTCTCTTGAGCGTCTGCCATCTGCCCGGTGAGGATCTGTATGTCCGGGTGTCTGAGGCTGGCTGGTGGAGGGGGGGTGTGTCTGTAAGCGCTGCGGCGGTGGAGGGAGGGAGGGGTCTGTCTGTCTATACCGACCCTGAGCCGCCTGCCTGGGTGTCATGGGGCCCCCACTCCTTCCCCCCGGCCCCCCCAAAGCCAGATGGATGGTGTGTACCTGGGTTCTGTGCCTCCTGCCTGCGTCCGGCCAGGCGTCTGGGCGTCCCCGGCTGCCTGTGTCCTCCTGTCTGTCCAAACAGCCCCTATTGGCAGTGGCAGCCTGGCCCCCATTAGACCCCCCACTCTGTGTGTGTGTGTCTGTGTGTGTCCCTCCTCAAGCTCTGGGGGTGTTGGGGAATCCCAGGGAAGTGAGGTCGTGCATGTGTGCGTGTGTGTGTTTCTGCCTGTGTTTGAGAGTGGGGGCATCTGGGGGGGTCTGGAGGTGGCCAAGCGAGGAAGGGAAAAGCAGTTCCCTAAGCAGGCAATCTCCCGCTCCTCACACACACACACACACTAGCCACCAGCTTCAGAGGTGACCCAGACAGACAGACAGACACAGACGCTGGAAGGGGGGGTGGGGGGGCTGAGGGCACAAAGCGGGGGTGCGAGTGAGCCAGGGAGAGGCGGGACTGGACACATGGAAAGGGGGGAGGAGCCGGGGCTGAAGCGGCAGAGGGGGGCACCCCGGGTGGGCGGAGGGGGGATCCCCACGGGGTCGGGGCAGCAAGAGGACACCCCGACAGCCTCCGCAATGTCCGGGGCCCAACTTCCAGAGCAACATGTGTAGCCACGTCCTCGCCTAGTCCAGGTGGCCGCAACCTTGGGGGAGAGACAGGGCAGGACAGGACCAAGGAAGAGGAAGGAGAGACGGAGCCAGGGACAGACAGGAGGTCTGGGCTGCCGCTGCTGCCGCCACCACCACTGCTGCCGCCCCGGGGCCTGCCCCCCGACATCGGCTCTCTGAGCCCTCCTCGGAATCTTGGGGTCACTGGACACCGGGTTCCGGTCCTGGCCCCCCCACCATCCCCCCAACAGAACAGGGTCATGAAAAGGTAAGGCGGGGACAGGGGATGCAGGGGTGGTGGTGGGAAATGTGGACCCCCAAATCTAGGACAGGGGAAGTTGGCCAGGAGCCTCTTGGAGGGAGGGGGGTTGAATGGTGGGCAGGGGTCTTGACCCCCACCTAGCTCCCCTGTCCCTCAGGGACTCTCCTCCACCCTGTCTCTCTCTCCCTCTCTGAGCCCCTTTTTCCTAGGTCCCTACACCTCAGACCTTTCACGCCCCCCATTTCTCTGACACTTGACTCCCTCTCCCCAGCCCCACATACCTGATGCCCCATATCCCTGTGCCTCCATCTATCTCACTTCTCCCTGTACCCCCCTCCCTGCATCAGTCCTCCCCATCGCCGGCCGGCCCTCTCCCTCTCCCCTCCCATGTCAGAGCTATGAGTCTGCTATTAATACCCCTGCCAAGGACCTTGAGGGCATCCAGGCCCCCAGCACCCCTCGCCCCAAGCTCCCACCCCTTCCTCAAGGTTCTGGAACACCCTTACAGCCTCTTCCAAGCATCAGGATTCGGGTGGGGAGAGACCGGTGTTGTGTGTGTTGGGGGGTGATGGGGGGAGGAAACGGGATGCCGTCTGCAGCACAACTCGAGGTTGCGGGGGGGAGCTGTTGATCAAAGTGGCCGCTTCTCTATTCTGTGTTGGATGCTGTGGGGGGCAATGAAGACAGGGACACCCTAGGAATTTCTGGCACCCTCCTCCTCCTCCCCGCTTGGGGACAGGCTGTGCTATGTACAGGATCTAAGTGGGGTGACTAGGGAGGCTGGGGCTGGGGGGGGCACCCAGGATGTTGGGAATGATGGGGTTTGAAACCTTAAGGGAGGAGAAGAGTGGGAACCCAGACTCCTGGGTCCTTGGGGGAAGAGGGGAGCTGGGGACCTGGACTCTTGGTTCCTGCGGGGAGAGGAGGCTGGGCACTGGAGTTCCAGAGTCTCGGGGCAGGAGGGCCCAGCCTCCTGGGTCCTGGGAAAGAATAGGACCGAATGCCCAGACTCCCAAGGCCTGGGGGAGGAAGGGTCTGCCGGAAGGACTCCTGGGTCTTTATGGGAGGAGGTAGGGGATAGCGCTTCTGACTGAGGACAGGCTGGGAGCTCAGTCTCCTGAGTCCCTGACAGGGCAGGGGATGAGAGTCAGGGACTTTAGCCTTGTGCAGATGGAAGTGGAAACGGAGGCTCATGAGGAGGTGGAGATGGAGGC